GGGAGGGTCCCACATGGCGTGCAGACCTCTCCACCTGAGCCCGCTGCTCCCCTCAGCAGTGTATTTCATCTGTCTGCCTGTTCTGTTCCCAGCTCTGGCTCTGGTGAATTCTTTCACCCTCCCACGCTTCTGACTGTACCCAGTGCTTGTAAAATAAATAAATAAATCTTTAATAAAAAAAAAGCTAGTTTGACATGGATTAAAGGCCTGTATATAAGAACTGAAACCATAAAGTACTTAAAAGAATGCACAGAGGGCACACTGCAGGACATCTACCACAAGGATGTATTTGTAGGCTCAACCCCAACAGCAAGAGAAACAAAAGCAAAACTAAACAAGTTCATCTACATCGAACTAAAAAGCAGTTGTTTTACAAAAACAAAAAGACAACCTACAGATTGGGAAAAAAAAATTTGCATATCACAAATCTGACAGTAAGCTATTTCCCCAAACTTACAAAATTCTTATATAATCTAACAAGAACAAAACCTAATCAAAAACTGGGCAAAGGACCTAAACAGACAATTTTCAAAAGAAGACACACAGTGATCTACAGACATGTGAAAAAATGTTCAATATCACTTATTATATGGGAAATGCAAATCAAAACTACGAAATATTACCTCACCCCTGTGGAATGGCCCATATAAAAAAGAATGGAATCAACAAATGTGAAAAAGGAACTCTCAGCGACTATTGATGGGGAATGCAAGTTGGTGCAGGCCCTGCAGGAAATAGTATGGCGATTTCTTAAAAAAATAAAAATGGGGCCTCCCTGGTGGTGCAAGGGGTTAAGCACTGCACTATGAAGCAATCTGCAGACTTTGCAGCTCGAGTTCGATCCCTGGGCAGCCAGAGAGCAACCCACATGGCGCAGCAGACCTCTCCTGTCTTGCCCACTGCTCCCCTCAGTAGTGTATTTCAGCCAGTCTGCCTGTTCTGTTCCCCACTCTGTCTCTGATGAATCCTCTCACTCCCAGCATCTCTGGAATGTACCCTAGTTCTGGTATGCATAAATAAAATCTTAAAAAAAAATTAAAAAATGGAAATTTTGTAGATTCAACAATACCTCTATTATGTATTTATCCAGATAATATGAAAACTCTAAAATGAAAGGATTCATCTATGTCTGTGTACATAGCAGCACTATACACAACTGCTAAGTCATAGAATCAACTTTTCTGCCCTTCAACAGATGAATGGATAAAGAAATTGTAGATGGTACAGAAAATGTAATACTATATAGCTGTGAACCAAAATAAAATAGTGGTATTTGGCACAAAATGGACCTTGACATGATTATGTTAAGTGAAAGAAGTGAAAAAATGTAAAAATACAGATATTGGATGGTTTCACTCACCTGTGGAATATAAATGGCCAAAAACATATCCAGGCAAAATACAGTGAGGATAAATGTTGAACTTATTAAAGAATATAATGGTTATCAGAGGGAACAGGGGGCAGGGAGGAAGGAATAGGGGAGGAAGGAAGATGAGGTATTGGCGCAGGTAATTTAGTGGAGGGTAAGTGGAATATGTGCACATATAGAAAAGCAAAAATGTAACCCCCTCAAATTAAGAAAAAAATAATACAGCAAAATGCATCATTTGCAAACATATATAATTCCATTCCATTTGATCTATCTTTGCATAAACAATAGGGCATAATAAAAAATTTATGTTGACTTTGCTGAAACTTTCCATGGGGATCTTACATTGAGCTCTTCAGAGGAAGGTCAGTCTTAACAGATTTCACCTGAGATTTCCTTTTCTTGAAATTCCCAAGGCTATTCTCTCTGTGTTCTCCAAGCCTGTCAACAGAGGAAAGCTTCCCCCATTTTCCTTAGAGGTCTCAAACTCTACAGGCAAAGTGGCAAGCTGGTTTTGCTGCTTCCTGATTTTGCTCAATTTCAACTCCAATAAGACAGTCCAGTCAAATCACTGGTAATGATACATGCTTTCAATTTTCTGATTTAAGGAGTGAAAAAATTTCCTACTGAAATTAAACAAAGATAAATATTGCCATGAGAAGTAAGAATTATTATTTTTCCATCATGTTATCATGATGGATATTCTATCAAGGAGAAAAAATGCAAACACAATTTATTTCTGTTCACAAAAATGAAATTTAGCATTACTGCAGATCATGATCAACTAAAAGAAAGTTTTCCTTGAATAAAAAAAAGTGTTATTTTTAAAAAATATTAAAATTATATTCACTTTATGGGGACTCTCTGGTGGTGCAAGGGCTTAAGATGCAACCTATGAAGCTGTCTGCAGCCTCTGAAGCATGAGTTCGATCCCCTGGCCGGCCAGGCAGAAACCCACATGGCACGGCAAACCTCTCCTGGCTTGCTGACCGCTGCTCCCCTCAGCAGCGTACTTCAATCTGCCTGTTTTGTTCCCTACTCTGTCTCTGGTGAGTCCTCTCACCCTCCACACCTCTGACCTGTACCCCAGCTCTTGTATGCATAAATAAATCTTTCAAAAAAAAGAATTTAAAAATAAATAAAATTATGTTCATTTTAAATAGCCCATTTTTTTTTTAAGATTTATTTATTTATTTATACAAGCACTGGGTACAGTCAGAAGCGCGGGAGTTTGAGAGAATTGACCAGAGACAGAGCGGGGAACAGAACAGGCAGACTGACGAAGTACACTCCTGATAAGAGCAGCGGGGCACGGCAGGAGAGGTCTTTGCGCCATGTGGGACCCTTGCCTGGTAGCTGGGGATCAAACCAACGCAGCAGAGGCTGCAGACAGCTTTGCAGCCCAGAGCTCCCCCACTGCGCCACCAGGGGAGGCCCTTAAATAGCCCATTCTGTCCAGTGTAAAAACTTTCTCAAGTTCTATCAATTAGGATTAAGGGTATGAAGGTATTGTTAAGGTCTTTCTCCTGCTAATTCCTCCAGAAGCATTTCAGCAAACTTTTAAATTCTGAATGTCTAAAATTTAAACCAAATAACATAATTGACAAGGAAATTTGTTTAAAATTATAGCTTACAACATTCCAGTATCAGAATATATCAGACACTTAAAAGATTTCACATAACCACAATGACATACATACCACCTTACACCAGTGAGAAAGGCTCATATTAAAAAACAGGAAAAAACAAATGTTAGCAAGGATGTAGTGAAAAAGGAACACTCCTACACTGCTGGTGAAAATGCAAACTGGTCCAACCACTATGAAAAGCTGTGTAGAGATTCCTCAAAGTACTAAAAATGGAACTTCAGCACCCCCCCCCCGCACCTCCCCCCTTCTTGGTGCAGCGGTTGAGCACTGGGCTGCGAAGCTGAAGGCAGCCTCTGCAGCACGGGTTCCATTCCTGGCTGCTGGCAAGGGTCCCACATGGCACAACAGACCTCTCCTGCCATGCCCACTGCTCCCCTCAGCAGTGTATTTTGTCAGTCTGCCTGTTCTGTTCCCCATTCTGGCTCTGGTGAATTCTCTCACCCTCCCATGCTTCTGACTGTACCCAGTGCTTGTATAAATAAATAAATCCTTTTAAAATAAATAAAAATAGAACTTCAATATGACCCAGCAATTCCACTGCCAAGGATCTACCCAAAGGACACAAAAACATTAATTCAAAAGGGCACCTGCACCCCTATGTTTATTGCAGCACTATTTACAATAGTAAGCTATGGAAACAACCCAAATACTGAAAAATGATGACTGGATCAAGACGATGTGGTACATATACACAATGGAATACTACTCAACAATCAAAAAAGATAAACTCATGCATGTTCAGCAACATGATGGAGCTGGAAGGCATTATGCTCGGTGAAATAAGCCGAAATGAAAAAGAAAAATATTGGATGGTTTCACTTATAGGAGGAATGTAGGGGAACCAAATGAGAGATCAGGAAAAAAATAATTATATTAAAAAGAAAAATTAATAGGCAACTGTAAATCAGAGACACAGCAGGGGAGAAGGTGGAAGGGGGAACAAAGCAAGGGAGGGAAGAGCACAAGGGACTATGGTGATGGTGCATGGGTGAATTGGTGGTGGGAATTTTATGGGAACTACACCTGAGAGGAGAAAGCATACATTGTACAAAAAGGAAGAACAACGTAAAATATCTATAAATAATATTTTTAATTTCACATCAATTTTAGAATGACAATATTAATATTCATGTGTATGCTGAGGTTAAAACATTTTTTCCAAGTGAAAATGCTTCCCAGAAGTCCCAATTCACAAAATTTTATGGAATCTTAGAAACTATTGTGTTCCCTTAAAATTTCATCTGATCAATCAATAAAAAGACTATCAAGGCCTCCCGGTGGCGCAGCGGTTAAGCGCTGGGTTGCGAAGCTGCCCGCGGCCTCTGCGGCGCCGGTTCGATCCCCGGCTGCTCCCCGGCCCCCGGAGGAGGGTCCCACATGGCGCGCAGACCTCTCCTGCCGCCCGCTGCTCCCCTCAGCAGTGTCCTTCGGTCCTTCTGCCTGCTCTGCTCCCCGCTCTGGCTCTGGTGAATTCTCTCACCCTCCCGTGCTTCTGACTGTACCCAGTGCATGTATAAACAAAACAAACAAACAAATAAATAAAACATGCCTCTATAAAAAAAAAAAAAAGACTATCAAATTTTCCTAGATTTTTGAGATAATTTTTTACCCTAATACTTATGAAAAAATAACAGAGACTTTGAAACAGCTTTGTTCACAATGCTGATATTCAAACCTTAGCCTATTGTTTTGATTCAATAATTGGAGTTATAAACATTTTTAAACTTAATTTCCTTGCTCCTTTTTTATTCAATATTTAATGCAATACCACAACTTTATAAACATGTATGTTTCAAACCAACCCATTAAACTCCTAATTAGATCTCATTAACTAAGGATTATCTCAGGCCACACTTCCTGGAAGCACCTGTACCAGTTCTCATTAAAAGCTATAATTTTAAACAAAATTTCTGTAGAAGTGCCATCTATACCAAAAGGATTGGCGCAGTAAAAAAGGAAAGCCAGGCTATGTTTCTCACAGGCAAAAGTTTATTACGCGCCCTCCCTCCCCCCCATGTTCATCCACCACCACAGAGGTTAGAGAAGCCACGCCGCTTGGGGGATGAGGGTAATCTTTTATAGGGTAGGGTTTGACCTTGGTGGGAGGTGGAGTGAAGTTGCTCTTCTCTTGGAACTTAGTGTTCTTTCTTGGCTGCTTATCAGGCGGTGCAAACCAGGTAGAGCCGGCACCAGGGATGCAGGTGGCAGCAATTTCAAGTTCCCCCCTCTGTCTCTTCTCTGCCTGGGGCTTGACCTTACATATACCAATTTTATATTCTCCAGAGGCCAGAACAGTTAGACCTAAAGGAGAAGACAGGCATACATACAGCATATACACAGACAATTCCTTTAGCTGTTAACCTACATGGGATATCTTATGCAAATGCAGTTTTACTCATATTTGCAGAGTTTTCTCTACTTCTTTATAAGGACAAACACTACTTTTCTGAAGCTAAGTTCTTTTTACCACTGCCTTACAGAAAAACAGTTTTACCCACATTGAAGTATCCAGACTATTTGTTCACCTGAACCACACATGTACCTGTAAATAGTCTACAAAGAGACAAAGAAAAGGAAAAATAAGATAGACTCATATACAAAAACTTCACAAAAATCAAAATTTTAAAAATGAATAATAAAAAGCAAAAATCAAAACCAAGTTCTTTCCATGGAGTCAAAATCAAATTCCTAACTCTGGACAGTGATGACTGCAGAGGCCACATGCTTCCACATGCCTTAGATTTTGGAAGGAAAAATAAAACTTTAGTTAGAGCAATCACAAAGGAGACTTTCAGTCTTTTTCACAGTCTCAAGAGTTTCTAGTATTCATTAGGAAGTCAGTCCTGGGGAATCCAGCAACAAAAGCTGAAAAAGCAAAATTCAAAATCAAAATGCAATCAATTCCCCCAAACTATGGTGGAACAACAGCAGAAGTCATAAAGTCTTGTCTTGCACCTGGTGGTACTACACCAATGATACTTATCAAAACGAGGTGTGGCTGCCTTATGCAAAAATGTCACAAATGTCTGCCCATAAACCTGGAGACTCTGGACTGCATTTATGATATTCCCAGAAAGTTTTAATCAATCCAAATAGAGTGTTTTTTAAAATCAGACCTTCCTTAGTAAGAAGCAGGGATCTTAGGAAAATATCACTCACCAGCAAGCAAACAAATCCAAAAATTCAAATGGAAATTATGCTCCAAATGCTGTAGAAAAAGAGATTCCCAGTAGCAGCCTGTAAGGAGCAGGAAGACCAAAGTGCAGGTTTCCTGATCCAGCAGACCAGGTAAAGGAGGAGTCAGAGTCCTCAGTGGTTTTTTGTGGGTCTTTTATTGGGATTTACCTGGTACACAGAAGGCAAGGGTGCTGGGGGGCCGGGAGGCTGGCAGTCCTCCCAGCCCCCAGCAAATCCTCACTCTATCTGGGCTCTCTGGCGTTCTCTCTGCTTCTCTGCTCTTCCGTTCGTTCTGCTGCTTCTTGGCTTCTTCATCAGCTTCTGCTGGAGTCCCCGTGACGCCGCCCTTAAAAGCCCAGTCTCAGCCCAGGTGTTTCCCATCTACCTACGCCCACACCCTATTCCAGGTGCCCGCCATCAGGCATGCATTCAGGACCGCAAGGATCCATCATCTATCCTGATGGCAGGAGGGCAGAAAAGCCTGACATTTTTTCCTTACCCTACACAGCCCCTTTAAATTTAATCCAGAGGAAATCTCTCTAATTGTTGTGATCCAGACCTTACAAAACCCATTACTCCAAAACGTATTAGGGTTGCAGTCACCTAGAGTTGCAATCACCAGTAATCTCTCAATCACAAAGCCTCATGTGCTTTACTTAATCTCAACCCCAAGCATGAATTTTCTAATTTGAAGACAATGAACCATCTTTGGCCTCAGTCTGAGCTGCAAAAACCATCCAGATGTCATTAGGCCTGCAAGATAGTAGAGATGAGGAAACAGTCACAAATAAAATACCCAAATCGCAGAACTTAATTTATGGCACAAACTGAAATGTTAAAATCTCAGGAGACCAAAAGGAAAGAATTAAAATGCTGAGTTCCAGGACACCTCACAGTGCTTCACCATTTTGGAAAACTTAAACCTCAGAAAGAAAAGGAAGTTACTTTTCCATGAAGCATCAGATGCCATCTCTCACCTAGCAAAGCAAGAATTTACCACATAGCTTCAAAGACCATCTTGCAAAGGAACCCTTTGCAAGAAGAAGAAGAGAGAAGAAGAGAGAAAACCACTTACTCCCACACAGGAGTATTTTTGTATTTAAAGAACAGGTTTATTAGGGAAAGGAACAGAAGAGTAAAAGACACTTGCATAGACACCAAAGGGACAGGTTTGCTGAGAGAGGCCTGGCGGGCGGCCTTGAGGAGAGCTGCCCTCTGCTGAAGGAGGTCGGTGAAGAGAAGTCCTGGCATGGTACAGGTCACAGGCAGGCAGGAAGCTGCTGCCCTGTAGGAGAAGATAATTGGTAAAAGAAAGCACCTGCATAGTCACAGGTGGGCAAAAAGACTGCTGCCTGACACAGGAAAATTTCCATAAAATCAAACCTCTGAACTAGTGAGACATTGGGCAAGTTAGGGTAATTAGGCAGTTTTAGGGACATTGCAGGAGGGGACCTCTGAAGAGTTTAGGAAGGCTTCAGAGATAAGGACAACTAGAAGAATGTAACTAATTCCACTGGGAATAATAAACATCCCAGGACCAAGGACAACATTGTTAAGGCTGGCCTTGGTTTCCCTAAGGTGATAAAGGGAGGTGGAGTTTGGGGAAATGGAGAGTGGTTTAATTTATGGACACATTAGGAGGGCAGCAGACTCATGTCTGGTAGGCCACCATTCTGCCCTTTGTCAGAGTGCAGGGATATTTATGCAAGGGCGAAATGAGATGGGGTCAGCACTGAGACCGGTGGGCACCAGCCTGTTTTTCTTCAATAGCTGATGTTTAACTTTCTCTTCCCCAAAATGCAGGTGTGCTCATCTGGGAGACTGGGCCATAAAGATAAATCTACCAAACAAGGGGGAAGATGCAACAAATGGGGAGAGACAAACCTGTTAGATAAGGAATGTGAAGATCCCCCACTCAGTAGCAGATTAAGTGAGACAGCCGAGAACTAACCAATCACAGACTGGTGGAGCTTTAGAATAATGGGGGAAAGAAGGTATATGTTCCCTGAGACACGACTCCACTTTGGCTTCCTTGCCCCTCCCTGGCCTGGTTTCATGGCCTGGGAGTCCCGCTTTATTTCTGTTCTTTTTCTCCTCAATAAACTTTTTCTTTCTCTAAACCAACCTGCCTCTACTCGCTTGCTTGCCTGAGAGTCTGCGAAGTTCCTGCTGTGGCTTTGTGAGACACCATCCCATGGTGGTCTAGTGGCTGGGACTCAGCGCTGCCCCTGCAGCCTGGGATCTGTTCCTGGCTGGGAGACTAGGTCTGACAATACTGGTATCAGTAGTAACTAGAACTGAATTGCACATGTACCCACAATGCCCCCACAAGGCCATAGCAGCCTTTCTAATCAAAGGGTAAAGGATAAATCACACATATCTGAAGCAAAAAGATACACAATACACCAGAGAAACCAAAACCACATTCAAGCTTATGGTAGCCAGTACTATGGGTCTCCCCATAGGGCTGAATCACTGGGAGTGGCTTTTTCCTGAACAGCACAACAAAACTATTACTAGAGGCTTATTCTTAGTAAAAGCCTCCAAAACTGTTATCAGGCAAAACTGAGGGACGCCCAGGGACCCCAAACATGGGAAAACCCCATGCTGCCTATTTTAAAGGTCCATACCACTAGCATGCACAAAGGTGAGCAACTGAACTCTAATAGCTCAAAGATTTTTAATACATAGAGAAGAAGAGTATGGGGGAAAAGGAGTTCAAATAAAACTCTCAAACTCTGAAATAACCAACCTCTCAGGGCAAACAACCAAGCAGCCAGTCCGGACCCAGGGGCTGCTGAGACCTGAGAACAAAGCATCTAGGAGTCCAAGGCAGGACTTCCCAACAGGAAAGAGAGGCAGGGCCCAGGGGACTCAGAAAAGAAAGACCTAAAACTCACCATGTAACCTAAGCAGGATAATCACCACGAGGGCAAGATGAAAGGTGCTGTTGTCTCTGAAGAGCCTACCTGCCAAAAGTGCTAAACCTGCCAAGAGCAAAGACCAAAAACAATCTTCCTGTGTGTCCTCCACTGCTCACACAATGGCTGCCTTGTTCCTTATGACAGGGGTTGGGAAGAAGGGTGAAAAGGGAACCGTACATACTACAGGAATATGCATGTACACACATTGTTTGATTTATGACCTGTTTGCTCTGAGTTAATGTCCCAGCCCAGGAAACACCTAGGAAATGTGATGGATACCATTACTGTCAGACACTTATCAGTCCCAGCATCCTGGGAAGTGCTCCTAAAATCAAGATGCCTGAGGAGGGGGTGTGGTGGGACATTTTCCTAGAGCGAAAGTCAAAAGCCAGCTTACTGTGGGTCTGCTAGGCTTAAACAGCCTGCTTGGCTGCCATTTTGGTTATGTGCAGTTCTGATTCCAATGCAAGGTCAGAACAGCCTCATCAAACAGCTATATAACCTAAAAGAATATAGTACTAGACCCTACAGGGCTCCTTTCAAATTAAACAAGAACAGGAGGCTTAATCATCCTGGGATAATGGGTACACTCACAAGGTTAGACCAGGATGCCAAGGGGGCATTCACTGATATGTGATTGTGTGCCCCAGAGACTGATCAATGGAACACCTTGTTGATCAGATTGGAACCATGGATGAGGATCTGGGGTTACTTAAGTGGAAAATGTCTAAAGTTATGTTGAAACAATGCCTCACTGTAGACTGAAAGTTCCAGAGAGTAACTGATAAAGGGTCTCAAAGCCACATGCCTGACTCATCCCAGATAACTGCTTAGAAGGCTCTTGCTTCTGTACTCCCTGCTGGCTTTTAGGTGCAAATGGACTCCTACTAAGACAATAAATTCCTATTGCCTAATTGCTCAGGGCTTAGACTTTGGAGAAGGATCTCCCCTGAGCCCTCTGGTGTTAATAAAGAACTTCTCTTCTCCTCTCTGAGTGCTGCTTGGTTTCCTGACAGAATTTCTATTTCTATTACAACACTGGGTCATCAAGCAGATAAATAATACCTGGTCAGTGGACTCATCTCCCCCTGGATCCCTAAATGATATAAACACATGTTCAGTTTCACCCACCCTTTTTCTCTTTTTTCTCCTACCCCATCTATTTGATGCTGTGTGATTATTCTAGCAATAAAAAGGTGAGCATTTTTGCTCTTAAGGCAGCATCCTGCATTGTACACCTTGCTCCACAACTCCCATTTTGTTAGGGGGAAAGGATGTCCTGAGCTAATTCCATGCAGGCTTTGTGGACTCCACCCCCACTCCAGACCAAAGCCATCAAGACATTGGGAAAGACAAATCCCGTCACCACCAAAGGGAAGGTGACTGGGACCTGAGGGTGGAGTTTAGCAGTCAGGTTTGGTATAAAAACCAGACACGTGGGCCTTGGGCTCTCTCGCTCTGTTGCTCGCCTCCTGGCTTCACGGCTCCTGGCTTGTGGCCAGCTCTCAGAGTTCCATTTGGGATTCCAGATCGGTGGATCGGGTAGGACGCATTTAAAACTTTGTCTCCCACTTTTCTCCCTGAGCTGTACATTTCTTCATTTGCCCTTCCCTTGTAAATAAACCTTTTATTAACCTTTTGTGTGTGCCTGCAGTAGAGCATTAATAAGTCCTTTTAAGCGCGTGGGTGAGGACCCAGTCAGGCAACCTGTTTTGTATTGGGGCTGCCCTGTAACAGTTTGTCAGTGTGGTGTTGTGAATGCAACAGCTCACGAATAATTATCTGTTTTTGTATAACTCACTATAAAACAGCAAACCAGAGATGAAGTATTAGAACGTTTTATTTGGGGCATGATGGTTGGCCACCCTCAGATATGCTGGCAAGTCTGAAAAACTGAAAAAATCATGAGTTATAAGATTCAGTTCCTATCTTTGCTTTTTATTGTTGTCGTTTTGGCTTCTGGCAAGTGGCAGGCAACGTACCAGGATTTTCTGGGTAATTTCCTTGATTCTAAGTGTGTGTGTTGGGGGGAGGGGGAAGCAAGAGGAGTTTCATTCAGAAAGTCCAGTTCATGACGTGCTGGGAGTTGTAATCCAGAGCATCTAAGATGTCAACAGCATGGAAGTGGAGACAGGGAAGATGGAGCAATTCCTGTGGCCTCGAAATGTACTCCTTCCCCTGCCATGGTGTCAGACCCTATAACACTCTCATATACTAATATATGTTGGACTATTTCCCAGGTATGAATCCTCACTTTGATTATCTAATAAACATTTTGTTTAACTATTTTGAGACTTTATTTTCAGTTAATGAGAGATAGACTTGCAGCTAACTCTTCCTCATCATCAAAATGCATGTTCCCAAAGTTTTGTTGAGGCACAGAAGAAAGATTCCTGTGGGTTCTTCCGAGTTGAATAAGTAATCAAAACAAACTCACATGGATTAGCAAAGGAAAAACAATCAATTTAATATCATACATATAAAGAATTTCCATGGTTCTAAATTATAATGAAAAATGGGATGGATCGGGAATTCTTATCATGTGTTTTGGGACCAGGGGCATAAGGAGGAAAGAGGAGACTTCACAGGACAGACAAGGAGCGGGTTACCACATCCTTACTGAAAGTAAAGATGAAATTCTTAGATAGAAAGGACGTACTTGCTGATAAGCATGTCAGATAAACTTTACCAACTACATTATTCTAGATAGCTCTTACAAGAAAGAGGTTTCCAGGGAAATTTCTACCTTGAAAAAAAAAATTAACGCTCGTGAAACTGGCTTTCTATTAGATTTCATACAGATTATTAAGTTATTCTCCCATTTCTGTAGCTTACCAGGAATATGAAAATAAAGTTTTCTTGTTCTTCTTTCCTTCCTATGTCCTCTAATGCTATCAGCCTTTCAGTGTCAAGAATACCTCTACATTTTAATGGAGTCTCCTGCATTCATTCACTCAGTAATTCACTTAGTCAACATTCATATATTTGGTAGCTGTTATGTCTCAGGCATCATATTTCTATTTAGGGAATTCTCAATTTTCACAACTGTGAACATTACTAGAATGTTTTGAGAAAAATTAAGACATGAACTGAAAGAATATATTAGTAGTTAAAAGTGTCAACTTTGAATCCAAGTTTCACTACTCACTTTCTGTGTGATCTTGGGCTGATGAACTATCCACTTTGGATTTCAAGTCCATCTTCTACAAAACAAACAATATGTTGTGAAGGATCTATGAGATACTAGGAGGTGTGAAACTCCAAGATTTCTGCCCATCAGCAAATCTTGACACATTTCTTTGAGTTTGTGTATCGGTCACTCACATCCAATTCTAGAATTTATCTTTTCCCAAGAGTGTTTATAACATTCCTTGATGGGTAATATGCACATCCATGAATAACAGGATAACTGCACTGTTATAATGCCTGGGTGATAAACAACTCGTAGAAAACTTTATATGAACCTGCCCGAGCCCGCGGACTGGTCAACGAGGTTCTCGAGGGGAGAGCAGCGACCTGAAGAACAGGGGTACACCACGGAGGGAGACACGTGCACTCTTCGTTCAGCTATCACAGGTCTCGTTTACTTTCGGTTTCGGCGGGGCTTTATAGCTGGGGACCGGAAGCGGAAGCAGCAGGCCAACAGTGCCTAGCCAATGATCAAACACATATACGGATCGCCAGAGGCCGTCATGCACACTGGGCCAAAAGAAGCTAATCCCGGAAGGGCACATGCCCTTATTTGGTGCGCCGGAGGTCGTCATGCGCACTGGGCCGAAAGGAGCACAGCCAATCACGGAAGGGGGAAGTATCCTGATGCCACGAGGTAAGGCGCCAACATGAACCTCTGGTTTTGACCAGGCTCAGCTTCCAATTTGGATTTCTAACCGCAATGAGCACCTGGACTGTGTTCGCTCTATTACAGGAGCATTTGTTAAAGCTGCTTCCTGCAACAGGCATTCCTTCATGTGCTGAAGATGCTCACTTTTTTTTTTTCCACAGGAAATTCTCTATTTTCTGTTAGCTCCCACTTTTCAGGAGCTGGGCCTATCATGACCTCCATGAAGCCAGTTCTGATTGTCCCACACCTACCAAGGAGCACAACTGACAAAATCTTGGTAGGATTCCATATCACTTTGACAATATACAATAGTGGTTATTTGTGAGGTCCAGAGCTATGGCATGGCAGAAGAGCTGGCTATAGGCAGCCATCTTTTCCATGCATAATTAGAAATCAATTATTACCCAAATGTAAATCTCACCAGTTCACCATGTTACTATATTGACACACACTTTTTTTATTCTCTTAGGTGCTTGTTTGATCATTAAGGTAGCAGAAGAGAGAAAAGATAGAAAGGGGGCTGTGGTCATAGTGGGGGCCATTCCTGGTGGAGGGACAAACAGGAGGAGGTCTGTTGCTCTGGTATGTCAAGGCTGGCACAGGTGCACTTTACTGTGAGTGAGAGATACTATATTGATTGCTGACTTAGCCCTGGAACAGAATCATTAGTCCCGAAGTGTAAGCCTGGTAATAGCAAGAATGGTGGAGGAGGCACATTTCCCCACCCAGCAGGAACTGAGGGACTCTGATGGTGAAGAGAAAATCAGCTGTGAATTATGGCGTCCCATGTTACTGAGGAAGAGACCTGGAAAGTAGACCCAGGCACCAACTAGATTGTGGCCTGTCTGCAGAGAGAAAGGTGTCTCAGGCTTTGCATGCCCTCCTCCCCCGCTAAGTCTCTGAATGTTGTGACTGAGACATTTGAATTAACACACGCACAGCAGAACTCTCCTGTCTCACCTGTTTTTCCCCTCAGCAGTATATTTCAGTCAGTCTGCCTGTTCTGTCCCCCACTCTGTGGTGAATCCTCTCACACACACACCCGCACCTCTGGCCTGTATCCCAGTCCTTGTATGCGTAAATAAATAAATATTTTAAATAAAACACTGTCCCATATCCCCCTTCCTGTAACCTATATAGAAAAGGAGGACCCCAAAACTTAAGCCACAATGCCACCTACAGGGAAAAGGAAAAAGACAGCAAAACACAAGCAAAGGAAAAGTTAATGTGGAAATATAGAGACACTGAAAGAAAAAGATAAAGTAGAAGCCAGGGTTTCGACACTGAATTGGAGGTCCTAACAAAGTTCTGAAGACCAGTTATGATGAAACTCAATGAAGTTTGGGACAAATATGAGATAGGATAACCAAATATGAGATATGAAAATTCTTCATCAAACAAATTAAAGCTTTTTTTTTGAAAATTCCAGATAGAAATGAGGATACAACAAAAGAACTGAAAACAAGCACAGGGGGTGGAGTAAGACCCAGCAAAGTGTCCACCAGTCACCACCATTGCCCAGATATGCTGCGACAATCCCTGGCACAATGCAAGAAGTAGGGAGGGAAGTCACTCCCCCTGTAGCAATTCCCTGAAAGCAAATGGGAAGATGGAAAACACAATAGTCACATGAGTCCTTAAGGAATACTACACCACAGAAAGGGAGCTTAGTATCCAGAACCCAATGACAAAGTCATGGAAGTCTGTTTTACCTATCAGATACAGGATTCAAACTTGCTATGATGATGAAATCCAAAGAAAATAGAAAAGCAAATCAAAGATATTTAAGAAGCTTCCCTCAGCTTTCCTAAGTACTTCCAAGGAAGCTAAGGTTGCACTAGGGTGAGAACTTCACTTCATCTGGCCACTAGTACCACCCCCAGCAGAGTCTGTCCCGCACCATGACTTCCGCCTTGGAGCTCCCTATCTGCATCTACTAAGCCCTCATCTTGCACGATGATGAGGTGGTGGGCAGGGAGGATAAGATCAATGCCCTCATTAAAGCAGCAGTGTAAATGTTGAACCTTTCTGGCCTGGCTTGTTTGTAAAGGCCTTGGCCAGTGTCAACAATGGAAGTCTCATCTGCAGGGTAGTGGCTGGTGGACCAGGCCAGCAGCAGGTGCTGTCCCAGCAGGTGGTCCTGCTCCTTTCACTGCTGCTGCTCCATCTGAGATGGTAGAAACAAAGAAACAACAATCTGAGGATTCTGATAATGATATTGGTCTGTTTGACTAAACCTCTTTTCTAACATGTTCAATAAAAAGCTGAACTCTTTAAAAAAAAAAGCAAAAACATCCAGAAAGAATTCTGATGTTTCATTGTCTCATAAATGTCCTCAACTATAAGTGATTTGTGGTGGGAGAACTATGGTGACCACACCTGAGGGAAGATAGCCTATATTGTGAAAAAATTACCAAGGATATAAAATTATCATACTTGATTAAAAATAAATAAATAATAAAATATATTCATAGTTTAAAAAAATAAATACATGTCCTTGATTCTTTCAAAGTAAAAAAAAAAAAGAGTTATTCAAAATTTAGAAAAACAAGGAAATAGAACTATAAAATTTAGGACAAAATGTCAAAAACAGGTTTTCATCTATCAATAATCATTCTAAATGCAAATAGATGAACTCACCAATTAAAAGACACAGTATCTTGTTTGATCAGGAAACACAATCAAATTTTTGTATGTCTTGAGGAGATGACTGCATTTCTTTTGTCTATGGAATTGTAATGTGTCTATGGAATGCTGTATTTTAGAGAATATTCAATTCTTCTACAGAAAACACACACACAAAAATGGGATGGATGAAACTAAAGGCCTGGGTTAAGCATCATAGCAAATAACTCATTAACACATGAGGTAATTAAACAAGTACCATATTTGTATGTGAACATAGATGGGGAAGGACGGAAAGGTGAATATTCAAGAAGTCTTAAGACAACCTTCAAGTAGTGACACCATTCAGCCCCATTTTTCCTTTACCAAATGAGCAAGGAGAAGCATGTCTCTCATCAGACTAACTAGTAAGTCATAGCTGTTGTCTGCCGCGGACCAGCACAGCAGTAGACGATGAGGCCGTCTCAGGGTTGAGAGAAACGTGCAGGGTGGTCAGGGAGTCGGCGAAAGAAATGACAAACAGACACAATTTAAGAGAGTGAAAATCTGAGTGTAATTTTCTTTGAGTTGGTGACCAGTATATATATGTTTTTCTAAAGGCATAGGATTGGTTATCAGTGAACTAAACCAGTTGTCTCATAGGTTTAATTTATCATTGACAAGGCAGTGATTTATGTCCAGAGTTACATTTGGATCTAGGCACATTCCTAAGCAGTCAGACCATTAGTTTTGTCTTTTGTTTTATATAATTACATTTTCTCCTAGCTAACCACTAAATTTATTAATCATTATTAATTATAACAGGTGCACTTATTTTTTTATGTAATAAAACTTTTTCATTAAGGATCAAAGCTAAGGAATTTTAACATATAACAGAGCAATTATTGAACTAACAATTTTGTTGTTACACAAGGTTTAGTGGTGTTTCATTTGAGTCATCTTTGTTACTAGATTTCATATGTTTCTTTAATTTAGCAATCAATGACCTTTATAGAAGAGAAGGAAGAAGTTTTAGAAAGAGAGTGAAGGGATAAAGTTTGTTGGTCTGAGGAGATGAGATAAGGCTCCTTTTGGTCAGCATTCTTGTGGTGGCTCCTGGTGGTCATTATTTTTTGATAGGCGTCTGTCTTATCTATGTCTTCAGGGAACTTTGCTGTATTCCCCGGCGCGCTGGTTCCTTGTCCAGCCGGACCTAGGGACCGTGGCAAAAGCCATTAGCCCTAACGGTCACTGCAGGGGGAGGTGCAGCAGTTGTCAAGGTTTTTTTGTCCTAGCTTCTCTCCACTGAAAGAGTGTGTAATATTGACCCTGAATCCCTTTTGTCCATGAGCTTTTCACTTCAGCCCTAGCTGCAGTCCTCACGACCACACCAAGGCAGGCAAGTCTGATTAGGTGGAGGATAGATGCACAGATGGCATATGTCCACCATCTGTCCAGCGTGTGATCCACCCTGGCAGCCACTTCCCCTAAGTATATTAAAGTGCTCTTACCTCCTCTTCCCTTGTTCCTCTCTGTTTCAAATTCTTCAACCTTTATGCCTGAAGCATTTTATGTTGCCTGCGAGCTTTCTGTTCATGACCTCTGGGCAAGCTCACCTGGTAAAGCATTTAGAGATGAGCAGGGATTATGATGACAGTACACCGTCACAATTGCCAAGAACTTTCTGCCAAATGCTCTTTCTGTGATGATATATCTGCTTAGGCCTTCCTTCCCCACCACACTTCTGCTCTCATTTGTCATGGAAAATCATGTCCTCTGCATATGTTCATTACCAATAGAATCCTTAGTTAAGGGTTTAGCCCCGCTGTCAGGGCTGCTCTACTCACACCAGTGTGAGGGCACGTCTTTTCTGATGCCAGAAAAATCTGCAATTGTGGAATCACCAAAGGTTTTCATTTTAAAACCTGATATTTTGAAGTATAGATTTAAATGTCGCTATATGTTTGTTTGGATTAAGCAATTAAATAAATAGATGGTGGGTGGTGACGGAGTTACACATAATGAACAAGAAGCTAGATTGTTCATGTAAGTATGAACTCATTTTGGTTTAATAAAAAGACAGATGGTTGCATATAGGAATATTATAGTTATGTGTATATACACAGGGAAGTATACACACATATGTTTCCTTACTGTGGAAGAAACAACGCTCCACTAACAATGAGCGTAACTGGCAACAGATATTGATTTATAATGCCAGTCTTCAACTAAAGAACCGGGGCTCCTTGGAGAAATGCTGATCATAGGATTGGGACAGAAAGTGTGCAAAATGAGACAAGAACATCTCCTTACAGTATTGGATCATAACCCAAAGTGTAGAATAAGTAGTATGAACGTATGTCAAGGGACACCTCCCCTCCAGTCTAATAGACCAGACAGCCATGTCCTACTACCAATTTTCACCGGTGACTAGAAGCCTCTAGGATCCTCACCAACTCCCTTATTCTTCAGGTACAAATCGTCTCCCCAATGTGTGAAGAAGTCTGGAAAGACCAAACATCAAAAATCATAAAAATCTGGGAAAAGATAAAAAAGAAGAAAAAGAAAAAAGAAAAACAACAGTGCTACCTGCTAGAAAAGTGTAAGTTCTGCCAGCTTCTAAGCTGCTGCTAAGAACACTTTAAAAATGACAAACTTTAAAATACAAAATGGGCAAAGAAAATACAAAATGGGCAATTTGAGAGCTCAAGGAAATATTAAAGAGAGAACAAATCTCCAAAACCCAACCACAAAGATATGGAAGATTTTATCTTCCAATAAGATAGTTCAAAATAGCCATGATGTTTTTTGATAAAGAAATACAAAGAAACAGAAGAAATATAGCAAAGCAATTCAAAGTAGCACAAGAGAACTCTGGAAAGCTAATCAGAGAGGCATAATAAAATGCAGAAAAGAATGAATGTCAGGAGAAATGCAACTCATGAACAAAAAATAGAAATTGGATTTAAATAAGAGAGTAAGGGAGAGAGGATGGTAGGGACAGACAGGATCCTTGAGTTGTTTCTCCCCGCAAAAATACCGAGGATTAGCTTAAACAGGGAGCAGCCACATCTGGATGGATCTAGGAGCTAGGAAAGTGAGGACCAATGTCTTAGCAAGAAAGAGGGCCAGAATAAAGTTGGAAAAGGAAGGAAAAACTAAAAAAAAAAAAAAAAAAGTCAGGAACAGTGTCAGCTGGGAGGTATGCTGGCCATTCCACCAACAGTCTCCCAGGCTCTCCTGCATGACCTGGGAAGGACAGCATAATTCATTCTGAGAACACAGCCTGTTCAAAAGTTCAACACCCTGGTGGCCAGTGACTGGGTTTGGTCTCTGGGATTCCAGAAGTGTCTGTGACTGCGTTGGTGAACTGGGGAAGACACCTACCTCTCCCCCTGGCTGACACAACCTCCAGCCTGAACTTACAAGTAGGTGACAGGAGGCCACAGTGATCTTGGTTTACCTACTAGTTTGTTCAGGGCCACCACGTGGAGGCAGCCATTGGTCTGGAAATGGTGCTACTCCTGGCATCACTCCATTATAGGGGAGAGCATAGCACTGAGAGACATATGCAGAACATAGCCATTTTAATAGGAGCATGTAGAGCTCGTTATGGAGAGACTGAGTACATACCATCCTTTGCCTTCCCCTATGTGCTTACAAAGAAACTCCAAACTAAGGGCCTGTCTAGCCCCTTAGTAGGGGAGAACACGTCATCACCAAGCATACCAAGTGAATAAATTTTTTGAAGACTGAGGGTTTCAAAAAGACTGAGCATACATCTACTTGCTCCCCTCCTCCAGAAACACGAGACATGGCTTCCAGAATCTACAGTCAAAAACTATAGGAAACCGCAGGGAACAGAACCACTTTCACCACTTTCAAATAGCATTGGAATTCATAGCTAGAACAATTAATTGAGAAAAATATTGAAAAACACTCCACATTGGCAAAGAGAAAGTAAAACTATCACTATTGCAGATGATGTGACAATATACCTAGAGACCGTAAGTAGTCCACTAAGAAAGTTAATAGAAACAATAAATCTGTTAGTAAAGGGGAATGTTACAAAATCAATTTACAAAATTCCATTGTGTCCTCTGATGCAAATAACAAGGTATAAAAGAAAAAGATCAAGATAACAACTGCATTTACAACTATATCCAAAAGATTTAAGTACCTAGGAATAAACTTAACAAAGGAGGTGAAGTACCTGTGCAAAGAAAAGTGTAAGATATCATTAAAAGAAATAGCAGACACAAAGAAATGGAAAGATTTTCTCTGCTCCTGGATCAGAAGAATTAACTTTGTTAAAAGAATTAACATTAGGACCTCCCTGGTGGCCCAAGGAGTTAAGACGCAACCTATGAGGCTTCCGCAGCCACTGCAGCATGAGTTCAATCCCCGGCCAGGAAGATACACACATGGTGCAGCAGACCTCTCCTGCCTCACCCGCTGCTACCCTCAGCAGTGTATTTCAGTCAATCAACCTGTTCTGTTCCCCACCCTGTCTCTGGTGAGTCCTCTCAGCCCCCACACCTCTGGCCTGTGTCCCAGTTCTTGTATACATAAATAAATAAATCTTTTTTTAAAAAAAGAATTAACATTATACCCAAAACAATAGATTCAATGCAATCCCTATCAGAGTTTCAGTGGCATTTGTCAAATAAATAGAAAAAACATAGCCAAAATTCACATGGACCATAAAAAACCACAAACATATCCTGATATAAAAGAAAAATGGTGACATCATATTCCCAGATATCAAACTATCTTACAAAGCTATAATAATCAAAACAGTAAGTAAATGGAGTAAAAATAGACATGGGGACCAATGGAATGGAATTTAGAGCCCATCTTTATGTGGACAGTTAATCTATGACAAAGGAATCAAGAGTATATATTGAAGTCTCTTCAATAAATAGTATTGGAAAAACTGGACAGCCACATGCAAAAGAATGAAATCAAACCGCTTTCTCACACTATATATAAAAATTAACTCAAGGTGAATTAATGACTTGAAGGTAAGTTCTGAAACCATAAAATGTGTAGAAAATATGGGCAAAACACTCCAGGACATTGGCTTCAATGATATCTTTGTGGATTAGATTATGTAAATGAGTAAGACTGAATAAAACTGTGAAGCATGTGCACAAGCAAAAGAAACTACCAACAAAACAAAATGACACCCAGCTGAATATGAGAAATATTTTCACATCATATATCAGACAAGGGACTGATATTCAAGATCTACAAAGCACTCATACCAATCAACATAAAAAGCAGAAATTTGGTCAATCAAAAACTTGGCAGCAGGGCCTCCCCTGTTGGCCCAGCGGTTCAGCGCTGGGTTACGAAGCTGCCCGAAGCCTCTGCAGCGCCGGTTCGATCCCCAGCCGCCGGCGAGGGTCCTACATGACCCACAGACCTCTCCTGCCGCCCGCTGCTCCCTTCCGCAGTGTACTTCTGTCTGTTCTGTTTTCCGCTCTGGCTCTGGTGAATTCTCATACCCTCCCGCACTTCTGACTGTACCCAGTGCTTGTATAAATAAATAAATAAATCTTTAAAAAAAAAAAAAAAAAACCTTGGCAGCAGAGTTAAATAGACAGTTCTCCAAAGAAACATACAAGCAAAAGACACATGAACAAAATGCTTTTCGTCACTTATCAGGGAAAGACAAGTCAAAACCTCAATGAGACATCACCTTACACCTGTGAGAATGGCTCATATGGGAAAAAAAAAAAAAACCACACTAACAAAAAGTACGGGTGAGAATGTGGAGTAAAAGGAACCCTCTTATACTGTGCTGGGAACGGGGACACTCTACTTGTCCAGTCCCTATGGAAAACAGTATGGCAGTTTCTCAAAATATTGAAATAGATCTACCATATGATCCAGCAATTCCACTCCTAGGTATTTACCTGAAGAATGCAAAAACATTAATTTGAAGGGATATATGTATTCCTATGTTATTGCAGCACTATTTACAATAGTCAAGTTTTGGAAACAACCTAAGTGCTCATTAGCACCTAAGTGCTAATGTATTAGCAGATTAGGAAGATGGAATACTACTCAGCTCTAAAAAAATTAAATTATTTCCATTTGTGACAATATGAATGGAACTGGTTGGGGATTATGCTAAGCAAAATAATCAGAAGGAGATAGACAAATACCAAATGGTGTCACTTCCATAAATCAGAGGATCAGACAGAACCAAACCAGCAACAAACCCTAGATGTCTGACTGTAGAATTTAGGATACCAGAAAGGGAATGTGGAGAATAAGGTATGTAAGAATTCCAGTGGACTGTAGTGGAAGATAATGAGCCTCTTGGTTGTTGGTGTGGTGTGGTAACACACGTCTAAAGAGGTGTGGTCCTATAGCTTTGAATCCTATACAGTGTTATGAACCAATGTTGCCTCATTAAAAAAAAAAAAGATTAATGTCACATTTTTGGTTAATTACTTGTTTAAAATGTACTATTCTAATGCAACATGTTAAAAATAAGGGGAACTGGGCCTCCCTGATGGTGCAAGGGGTTGGGACACAGCTTATGGGGCTGTCCACAGTTACTGCAACACGAATTCAATCCCCGGCCAAGGAGCAACCCAGATGGTGCAGCAGACCTCAACTGGCTCGCCTGCTGCTCCCCTCAGCAGTGTATTTCAGTCAATCTGCCTGTTGTGTTCCCCATTCTGTCTCTGGTGAATCCTCTCACCACCCCCCATACCTCTGGCCTGTACCCCAGTTCTTGTATGCATAAATCAATAAATCTTTCAATAAAAAATAAGGGGGACTGAATCTAGGAATATATAAAAGTTTTCTGATCAGAAATTATCTAAAAATCTAAAATTAAAAAATTAGTAAAAATGCATAAGATTTTGAGAGATTAACCTTTCAAAGTGGTTTTTTTTAACTATCACTTAGCATTTTAAAATGTATTTGTTAAATTGTAAACAAGTTTTGTTTTCTGACTTGGTGAATTCCCTCATATAAATGTCATAGATAAAAAGTGAATTAAGAAGTTAAGGAAGGGCGCAGCGGTTGAGCGCTGGCTTGCGAAGCTGCCCGCAGCCTCTGCAGCGTTGGTTCGATCCCCGGCTGCTCCCCGGCCACTGGAGGAGGGTCCTACATGGCACGCAGACCTCTCCTGTCACCCGCTGCACCCCTCAGCATTGTACTTCATCCTTCTGCCTGCTCTGCTCCTCACTCTGGCTCTGGTGAATTCTCTCACCCTCCCGCACTTCTGACTGTACCCAGTGCTTGTATAAATAAATAAATAAATCTTTGAAAAAAATAAAAAATAAAATTAAAAAAAAAGAAGTTAAGGAAGAGGAAAATATTTTCTCATTTACTTAATTATTTTTCTGTTTTGGCACCTTGTCAGGCTCTCCTGATACAAAGAAGCACAGAATTCTGCAACCAGCAACCTTGACTTCATGAGGATCTGTCTCAGCCATGGAGCAGAGAACAGGTTATGTGAACTTTTCTAACCCACCAGCGTCAGAACAATGATACATTGGTCCTTCAGAACACAACATTTCAGTTCTGTGAACACAAGAGAAAATGATATTTTTAGACTGATAGTGTATTTGGTGCAAACAAAGTTAAAAGGTCAAGAAAATGATTGTATCTCTCTGCAAGAGGATTTATGTCTATTTGTACCTGGTTTCTATGTAATCACTTAGCACCAATGGCAGAAAAATGCTATTATTAGTCATAATAGTTTTTGTTGTTTTTCCATTGATTTAAGAGTTCATGCTGAAAACAAAGTGCTGTCAAATGATGAATCATTTATTACCACCTTGTCCTGAACAGGATTTGATGTGGGCAAGCCAGATGCACTGGGTCACCTAAGCACATTCCTTATATTGTGCTACATGGAAGCTCAAGCAACACAGGTCTATAACAAGCAGTCACTATAAAGCTAATTATTGTATGAGAATGTTTGTTATCATTGCTCTGTAATTGCTGCTAAATCCCACACTCTAAGTTCAGATAGACCATCTGCTATCACTTCACATATTGCAATGGTTTTAATGAATACCCAATAAATGGTTTCATGAATACCCAATCAGTTTCATGAATACCCAATTCACTCCTCTCGTCCTCAATCTACAGAAAGGGAGGCCACCCATAGGTAGCAAATTGTTGAAGAAAAGCTGTTACTGCTTTCCCTCAGAGGAGGCTCCCCTTCTCCCCTTCCTTCAGCAAGAAACTATAGCTTTGGGGAATCAGTTGTAAAGACTGAAGGCTTATGCTATGTAAAGACCAGTATTTTGTTCTTTGGTTGGGTGTCCATTCCCATTAACTTGGAAAACTCTTCTGGGCAGTGGATTAAGAAAATTAAGGAGGACCTCCCTGGTGGTGCAGGTGGTTGAGCTTGGCGCTGTGAAGCTGTCCGCAGCCTCTGTAGTGCAGGTTCGATCCCAGCTGGCCGGCTAGGGTTCCACATGGCGCGGCAGACCTCTCCTGTCATACCCACTGCTCCCATCAGCAGTGTATTTCAATCTGTGTGCCTGTTCTGTTCCCCACTCTGTCTCTGGTGAATCCTCTTATACTCCTGTACATCTGCTCTGTACCCTGGTTCTTGTATAAATAAATAAATCTTAAAAAAAAAAGAAAAAGAAAAAATCAAGGAGATTTGGGGCCTCCTTGGTGGTGCAAGGGGTTAAGCACTGCACTGTGAAGTTATCTGTAGTCTCTGCAGCATGAGTTCGATCCCTGGCCAGCCAGGGATCTACCCACATGGCACAGCAGACCTCTCCTCACTCACCCACTTCTCCCCTCAGCAGTGTATTTCAGTACATCTGCCTGTTCTGTTCCCTGCTCTGTCTCTGGTGAATCCTCTCACCCTCACCACCTCTGGCCTGTACCCCAGTTCTTGTATGCATAAATAAATAAATATTAAAAAAAGAAATAGATCCCAATGTTGTTGGAACAAAACACTTGGTGTCTCTGACACACCCATGGGGGACCAGTAGTGACGATCACTACTGGCCAGTACTGTCTGCCTCAGCTGTGTGACCTGGCAGCAGCAATGCTGTTCTCTCATGCTGCTGCTCCACCACAAGTCAGTTATGGAGTTGCTTCTCAGAGCCCAGCAACTGCCCTTTGGTCAGTTATGACAGTTGCTCCTCAGAGCCCTTTTATGCAACTGTGTAATTCCTGGATTGTGGAATGGACCAATCAGGTGCAAGCTGCGAACTGATTGGTACTAAATGGTCCAATCAGCGACAGGATTGAAAAATGGTCCAATCAGACTTGTTGGGACACCCTGAAAAAGAATAAAAGTCAGTTTCAGAGGGAGCTGAAGGATAGATGGTTCCAGCCTCCAAAGGAGGAAGAAAGAAGGACCAGAAGCTGAAAAAAGAAAAGAAAAAAAAATCCAGCAGCAAATATCCAAGGAGGAAAGAGAAACTGAAGACCTCAGCTTGAAGATTGCCTGAAAGGAGCACCAAAGACCCCGGGCCTGGTGTCTCAAAGAGCTATTTGTTGTTGGTATAACCCAACAACTCACAAAGAGCTGTTAACACTTGGTGTCTCTGACACACCCATGGGGGACTAGTAGTGATGATCACTACTGGCCAGTACTGTCCTGTGTTCCTGGTGACCATTATCGACCATCATTGACACTATCTGGGTGAAATAGCCACTTATGACTAAAGTAAACTCCTTGTTTGCCCTGTTTGTAAAATAAACCCCATGGTTATTGTACCTAGAGTCTGAGGTCTCTTTGCACAATTGTGCACGCGGGTGAGCACCCACAGACAGAGATCTGTCCTATCAAGCACTGTCCTTTTTTTTGTATTGTATTGCTATAATCCTTGGGTTTTGGCTTTTGGGGGCTCTTTGGTGGCTTTTGTCTTAAAGGTGGGCAAGTGGGTGGTTGTTCCTTTCCACCATCTGGCCTCCCATCCTACCATCCCTGTTTCACCAAGTGTCTAATGTTTTATGAGTTGGCCTCTTAAATTAGATAGTTTATAGTGGTAGACTTGCCAGCACCACTTCCTATATGGGCAAACTCAGAGTGATGTCCCAGGAAGATAAGAAAAAAAGTACAAATACTGAAAGCCCAGGAGAATATTGGGAAAGATCCATCACCATGAAGATATGTTCTTGCATCACAGAACCTAACTGGACCCACAGATAGTAAATTCCGACAGCAGTTGTAAATTCCACCAACCAGATTGAGAGGTACAACTTGCCCACCACGGACATCTCTTTAGACATTTTCCTCTCCCTCTTTCACTTCCCAAGGGAACAGAAGGAAGAAAATTACAGGGGGAGGGGTCTCTGAAGTTAAAAAAGAAAAACAATATGATTCAACATTTTTGAATGAGTATTCTAATATCTGACTTTGAACGCTGATGTGTGGAATATGGCCAAGGTGGTTTATTTAGGAAGCCAGTCACTCACTAGTAGGAGAGTTGGGCTTAGTTTCACCATTTAGTAGAGAGGTACTAGGTAAAAAAGCATTTCATGTTTTTACATCGCCACATCAAAACTTCAGGTTATACAAGTACCACCACCAAGAATTTAATAACCATGGGGATTTACAACATATAAAAAACTTTTTAGAAAAAAATATGGGGGCTACACTGATTTCCCTCTTCTCACATCACAGTAAGAAAATGCCAGTATGTTTGAAATTGGTTAAACTAATTTCATATATTTCTGTAGAGATAGTCATTTTATTTACTAATGTGACTGTAACTCATGGAAAATGGCACATTTACCCAGTAAGTTATGATTTTGAAACTACAGTGGACATTATTCTTAAAATTTTCTTGCTAAAAATGCACACAGATGTATTTTTCATGATGCAACAGAACTATAAATTGCACTGTGTTAGATATCATCAGCCTCTTGTAATGCCTGGAAATAACATATTACATCAGAATCAATGTCACTTCCATGAGCCCACTGGAACTATAGAAACAACTGACATGTCTTATTAATTGCTACTGTAAGGTGACAAAAACGTAGCATATAAAATTTTGAAAGAAGTTATGCCTTTTGGGAGACTGCCAAGTGAAGACCGCAAGATACAAATATCCTGATAAAAACAAAATAATTTTTTTTGTCATTTCCATTAAGTATAGATTCTGGTTTTCAGACTTTTTATTTCAATATCTTAGATGATCTTTGAACAATGGGTTCAGACAGGGAAATGATCCTGAGATATTACACATGATTGGTGTCACCGTTTATAAAATGTTCTGTTTTTCTTTTCTTTGCTGGGATCTGTGAAATCTTTGTCATTCATAAAAACACTCTTCCTTGGCATGGACATGCTTTGCCTTGCAGATTTTCAGAGAAAGTTGTGAAAGTGATGTAACTTTCATTTTTTATTTTTTTAAAAGTATGTCTGTTCCATTTTTTTAAATAAATTTTATTTTTATATTCCCATACAATTGCAACCCCCTTATTTTGATCCCAATCCCCCCTCCCCACCCCCACCACCCATAGAGTGTCTCTGGTTCATAGTTGTTTGTTGATTTTGGTTTTCACTTTCTTATAGTTATTCATTTTCCTGGTCCCTTATTTAAGTTTTCTAGATTCCTGCTATGAGTGAGACCATCCGGTATTTTTCTTTTTCTTTCTGGCTTATTTCACTGAGCATGATCCCTTCCAGCTCCATCTATGTTGCTGCAAATTGCATGTGTTTATCTTTTTTGAATGCTGAGTAATATTCCATGGTGTATATGTACCACATCTTTTAAGCTCTCTGTTTCCTTACAGATACCTAGATGTTAGGATGAAGATGAAACATGTGAAAAACCACCTAAATTCAATAGTGTTTATCCAAATATTATGTATTGCTGGAAAACACCCAAAGGTCTGTAATATTAGTGTATTAAATAAGCTAAATGTTTCTTTTCAGACTTATGCCTAACGTGACACCTGGCCTTTCTATACAGTTACTCAACAATCATTCACTTTTAACATACGACTGACTTTTGAGTTAGTCTGAACTGCTTATTGCTTGTTTCTAAGTTCCAGAAATGGGAAAAGCAAGTAAAATTACATTTGTATTTTGAATTTTTTAAAAGAACTTTCTGAAAAGAAATACTCTAAGACCTATATTTTCCCATGGAGTGCCTGTCAAAAATACATTGTTTTCTGGCTTCACTTAAAGAACCATTACAAATAAATATATCAACAACCTAATGTGACAGTATCCTGTCATGTACAGGCATCTGGTGTCTCAAAATCTGCTTGAGTAAAATATCACTCATGTGATTGGAAGCATTAAAGCTTTCACCAGTTACATGAATTCTAAAGGCATTGGCCCACCTCCAAAAACCATATACTAAGTGATATATCCCTATATATTCCCACCTCACAATCTTATGTTGGCTGTTCCATCTGTCTGGAATGATTTTCCTCATATTTTTTAATAGTTCATTCTTACCTGCAGATCTCAACCAGTGTGAGGTGGTATCATCATGGTTTTGATTTGCATTTCCCTGATTGTAATCAGGGAAAATGTTGAGCATTTTTTTCATATGCCTGTTGGCCATTTACATTTCCTCTTTGGATAAGTGTCTTTTTAGTTCTGTTCATTTTTTGAATGGATCATTTGCTTTGTTTTTGCTGAGTTCCATAAGCTGTAGATCTTTGATACCAGACCCTTATTGATTATATGGAGTGCAAATATTTTCTCCCTACCTGTGGGTTGTCTCTTTATTTTGGTTATTGTCTCTTTTCCTGTACAAAGGCTTTTTAGTTTGATATAGTCCCACCTGTTTATCTTTTCCTTCATTTTTTTTGATTCTAGAGGGGAGTCCTAAACAATGTTTCTGAGATGAACGTCATAGAGTGTTGTGTCTATGTATTTTATGGTTTTAGGTATTGCAGTCAAGTCTTTTATATGTATTTTGATTGGTTTTTGTGTATGTTGTGAGATAGTAATCTAGTTTCATTGTTTTGCATTTTCCCAG